CCTGAGAAACTGTTGCAGTGGCGTTGGACATCGGGTGGGAGACCAATTCATCAAGTCCTTGTCAAGTGGTCCCACATGCCGGGTTCTCTAGCTACCTGGGAATCTGTTGAAGATCTGCGGCGCCAGTTTCCAAGATCTCCGGCGTGGGGACACGCTGGCACTCAAGGAAGGGGGATTGTCAGCAGCACACCTGATGCCACTGCCGGTGATGCCGCTGATGGACCGGGACTTGGTTTTCCTTCGCCAAGGCCCAAGAGGCAGACGCGGCCCAACTCCAGGGTGCTCGGGCCCATGTGGCAAGTTTAGCGTGTATATGAGCCAAAGTGCCGGATTGGAGGAGGACAGCACAGAAGCAACTGAATACTCTTTTCTGTAATAGAAGCACTTAGCATACATTACTTGTTCTTCTTCTTCATCAAGCATACAATTCGTAGTTTAGTCTCACAAACACCTAGACATACGTGCAAGAGTTTCCATTCTACTACAAGGTGTAGGTTTCTTCAGTATGGTCCTTATCCGACGAGTGGTTCACCTCGACAGCTTGCCCGCTCCCCTTGTAGCCATCTAGCCTCCGACGAGCACGACTGCACGAGCAGAATCCAAGATGCCAGAGACTACAGGAGCTTGACACCGGAGATCGGAGACGGACAGCTCGACTCACGGCCGCATATCTCCTCTGTCTGCATCCATAGCCTCGTGCGGTTTGCTGTCTGTTCTGTAGCGTGTAGTCAAAACTCAACAAGAGGAGCTGGCTAGTCTTCTTCTCTCGAAGCCAATTATCTAGTCTATGGGTAATTCATTGGGTAGACATGTCGATCCAGTGATCTAGTAGTACTGACGTCCACACCATTTTTGCAAAGATTAAATAAAGATAAAAAAATTAAAAGAATGAGGAGGAATGTTGAATTCGCAATGAAAATGCACCATTTCAAAGTGCTGCATCAAAGGCAGTGACATGTTTGAAAGACTGAATCTTTTTCACTCGAACAAATGATAGTATATCAGACAATTTTAAGTTCAGTTGTGATGGATTGGCACAGAGACATTAGTTGGTGGGTGTGCTAAGAGCAGTGGGCGCTAGTGCGACTTTCTGCGCCCTTGGATAACAGCTCGTGCAGCTTTGAGAAGCCGGTCCACGCATGGTCGTCATGGTCAGCAAAGGCGAGCCGGCCACAGAAATTTCCTTGGGTGACTTGCACGCGACGCTTCGCACTCGTTTCGCCTTCCCCGCACGGCCGCACCAGCTCACCCTCTGAAATCTGTAGTGGGATCGGCAGTTGGCAATCACTGTGGGAGTCTGTCTGTCGGAGACCAGTCAATCCAAATGATTTTTGCTAACTTTCTAGAAGCAGCAGTTAATTGGCGTGGAAAACTGTTTTGTCGCCGCCGCGCGCGTTTTCGTTTCTCACTTTGTAAGAGATATCGGTTCCGTTTGCTGGTATGAACTTTGGCTCAAACTGGCTGAAAACATTGTTCCGGCTGAATTATTGTGAAAGAAAAACACTGTTCCGACTGAAAAAACAAGCCGAACAAACCAAATTTAAGTCAAGCGAACGGGGCCATTTAACGGGCTGCTGTTCTATTCCAGAAGACATGGTCGACACGTCAATCCAGCCACCAGACGCTGAAAATTGACAGCTTAGGGAGCTAACTTGGTCGACACAAATCTGCCAGTCCTAAAGTAAACATGGCCTTAGTGTCAAGTACTCGTAGGGCATGTTCGCTTGGAGGAATTCTGGAGTAATTTGGATGGTTTGAAAGAATGCTGGAGGAATTTGTGAGAGAAAAATACTGTTTTGGATAAAAAAAGAAACAGATCAAATCGAGTTTAAGGGCACGTGAACGAGGCGCAAAAGATAAGCATAAGAAGGGAGTACCGATTTTTGTTTCTTCTGGAAGCCTGGAAATAAAACGTCACTCTTTCTTCTAGAAGCGATACATGAATGCCGCCAGGATCCGCACAAGAGCTTTACAAATAATAATCACTGCAACTCTAGAAGCGTACACTGGTTGAGGTTTTAGCTGAGTATAATAATATATGTATACTGGGAATCAGCAGCATGTTCGGTTGGCTGGTTCGTATTGTTGCTGGTTCGTGAAGAAGTACTGTTGACTGATTTGTGTGAGAGAAAAATACTGTTCCGGCTAAAAAATTACGATCGTTTACAACAAGCCACAGCCAAACAAACAGGCTACAGGCAGTCAGCAATCATATATGTATAATAACTTGCAACTGCCCTTCTTTACAATCAACCTGTTCGTTTGTTGGTTTCGACTAGGGCTTATCAGTCATGATACAGTATTTTTCTCTTACAATAAACCAGCATTAATCGGGCTTATCAACTCAGAACCAACCATCCAACATGCTGATTAACATGCAGCTGGAGTCGTTGCACCCATGACACAGCTACAGTGGACAACAGTGGCAAGGTAGCCGCCGCTGCTGGAAAAACTAGCAGCCGAACAGTTACGTAGACTTGTATTAAAAAAGTAATCTCAATGCGTCCTTGATTCCTTGTTTTAAAATTCTCGATCAGGATGTTTTGGTCCGCCGGGATCGCCACGAAGAACAGCGAGCTGGACAAGAGCCGACTCTGGCTGCGTTCGGCTGACACGAAAATCACTGCAGCGACAGGAAAGTTACTGTTCACGATTGAATGTGTGAGAGAAAAATACTGTTTCGGATGAAAAAGGAAGCGGATCAACCCGGATATGGTATCAAAAAAAAAAGAAAAAAAAAGAGCAGACTAGTCTCGTGTCTAAGGGTGTGTTTAGATGCAAAAAAAAAAAAAAATTAGGTTTTGGCTACTGTAGCACTTTCGTTTGTATTTGGCAATTAGTGTCTATTTATGGACTAATTAGTTTCGAAAGTTTCGTCTCACAATTTCTCACCCAACTATGTAATTAGTTTTTTTCGTCTATATTTAGTACTCCATACATGTGCCGTAAGATTCGATGTGATGAGTACTGCAACAAAAATTAAGATTCGATATAATGGGTACTGTGTAAAAAAATTTAGAAACTAAACATGCCCGAAGAAAGGTACCTGGCTCTGGCGGGAGTACTGGAGTAGGTGATCAATTGCGATGCACATGGATGTGTATGTGTTATGAAGCACGTGTGGGTGTGGTATGCAGTATATACACAGTCAAAGTGTCAAACAAGCAAACAGGGGCCACTACAACTTATCTTTGACTTTCCCGTTTGACTGACCGACCGGGTGGCCTGCCTACCAGGCGGCAGTTCGTGTCGTGGCTAGCTGCCTCGTTTTGTCCGTGACCTCCAGCTGACGTAGCGCGCCAAGCTCTAGCTCTAGTGGGTCCAGCAGTCAGTGGGCGCAATGAAGGCACTCACTTTGTTACTTAATTAACACACCTTCGAATCTAAACTTCGTTACATTGTGAGATAGGAGTCGAAGACGATTTGATTTGACAATCGACAAGTATAAACAAAAAGGGACATGCCACACCCTCCCCCTTCCTCCTCCCCTACCCCCAAAAAATCACATTATTTCTATAGACTTATATAGTCAATCATGGTTACATTTTATTAATTTATCAGCATCATAACTTATCATTGATGACCCCTTAACATTCATGTGAAGCTCTGCTACTGCTTAGTTCATCTCCATCTTCTATTTGCACAGTGCATACTGTGGGCCCAATTAGATCCCTCGCTGACCCTTGCTTTGCCTGCCTGGACAAACATAGAGGTGTTTCGATGTGCTAGCTCACTGTCTCGGTTCTTGTGCTGGCAAGAAAATCCTTGCTAACCTGGGCTAGCCAATCTGGCTCGCCCCGCCTGGCAAGGTGAGGCGAGGCAAGCCGGCAACGAATCCAAACGTGCTCGGCGTGCCTGCCACCACCTGCAGACCTCCTTAAACCTTGGCCCTATTTGTTTTCCTCTTATAATTAGATTCTCAATGAAAAAAATATGAGAATTCCGCTTAACATTTCGATTATTTCTAATTCTTTTGACTGTCGCTTCAGAACTTTGAACTAGATCAATTGAGAATAAAAAATACCGATGGTACAGTGATTATAGTCAAATTGATTATAAGCGGTTCCAAATAGAGTCTAGCTTCTATTATCTCTTCACCCTAGCCCTGAACCCTAATTTCTCATTAGAGTTGGAGAACAGACAAGACAAACATACCCAAGAAACACATGGTTGTGAAATAGAATTTTACTTTAAACAGGCACATTCACGTGTTTGCCCCGTTCTATGATAATTATAACAAAATGGTGAATGCCAAATCTCTTTGGGCTGACAGCTACCTGATCATCTGATTTTCAGACCATTCCTTTTTGTCGCAAGCGGTCGATCTCATCCCGCTGATGGCTGCAGGGGAATAGCCTGGCTATTTTTTCGTCCAGCCTAGAAAAGAGCCGCCGCAGCACTCTTGTAGTCCAAAGAACCAGAACAGATTGTGTGCTATTGTCTTTCGAGATGGCCACAAAATCAACGAAGTTTATCTAACAATCCTTGCCACTAAGCCACGTAGCTGTAAGTTTGGCCCGTAGTTTAGCAGCCACATCAAACAACTTCAACTCGAACATATCCTCTCTTTTTTCTTCAAAAAAAAAACATATCCTCTCTTTTTTTATTAATAAACAAACAAACATATTCCGTTGAAACTAAGCTAAAATTTTGACACGTCTAAACCCAATAAAACAACGTGCAACCGCCACTATCCAGTGACACCAGCGACTCTGAAGCTTCCAAGCAACCATCGCCCAACAGACCCGCCCAAACGAGCCAATAATTAACGGGACAATGCAAAAGGCCGGGCGTCACCGTCCCCGTCCCGTTCCCAGTAACCAGTATATAATGTGTGCGCGGGCACGCTCCAGCGTTCACAGTTCACACCGCGTCGCACCACACGGTCCGCGATGGCAGGCCACCACCGCGCCCGCCGAGCAAACTGAACGCGCGCGCCGACGGTCGGCCGAAAAAATCACGCGGAGCCACCCCAACCAAAAGCCACGCACGCCAAAACCATGGCACGCGTCCTTCCCCTGCTGTGCGCCTGCGTCTGTCTCGCCTCGGCGTTGTGCCTCCCGCGCCACGCCGCGGCGCAGCAGGACGCCGAGGCGCGGCTGCTGCTCCAGATCAAGAGCGCATGGGGCGACCCGGCGCCGCTCGCATCGTGGAGCAACGCGACGGCCGCGGCGGCGCTGTGCAAGTGGGCCTACGTGACCTGCGACGGGGCCGAGCGGGTCATCTCACTCAACCTCACCAACGTCTCGCTGGCCGGCACCGGCACCGGCACCACCATCCCCGACGCCATTGGCGGGCTCACCGCCCTCACGGTGCTCGACCTCTCCAACACTAGCGTCGGCGGCGGCTTCCCTGCGTTCCTCTACAACTGCTCTGGCCTCGCGCGCGTCGACCTCTCCTACAACCAGCTCGTCGGGGAGCTCCCGGCCGACATCAACCGGCTTGGGGGCGGCAACCTGACTTACCTCGCCTTGAACCACAACAACTTCACCGGCGCGATACCGGCGGCGGTATCCAAGCTCACGAACCTGACGTACCTTGCTCTCGGAGGGAACCAGTTCACCGGCACCATCCCGCCGGAGCTCGGTGAGCTGGTTAGCCTTCAGACGCTCAAGATCGAGACGACTCCCTTCAGTGCCGGCGTGCTGCCGGAGTCTTTCAAGAACTTGACGAAGCTAACGACCGTCTGGCTGGCCGATTGCAACCTCACCGGCGAGATCCCGAGCTATGTCACAGAAATGCCGGAGATGGAGTGGCTCGACCTGTCGATGAATGGATTCACCGGAAACATACCACCCGGGATATGGAACCTCCAGAAGTTGACGAATTTGTATCTGTACATCAACAATCTCTCTGGCGACCTCGGCATCAATGGCCCAATCGGAGCAACAGGTTTGGTAGAGGTCGACCTGTCCGAGAACCAGCTGAGTGGAACCATCTCAGAGAGCTTTGGAGGCTTGATGAACCTAAGGCTCCTGAATTTGCACCAGAACAAGCTCACCGGCGAGATACCGGCAAGCATTGCCCAGCTACCATCCTTGGTATTCTTATGGCTGTGGAACAACAGCCTCAGCGGAGAGCTCCCGGCGGGGCTCGGAAAACAGACGCCGGTGTTGAGAGACATACAGATCGACGACAACAACTTTTCCGGCCCAATACCGGCGGGAATCTGCGACCACAACCAGCTGTGGGTGCTCACCGCCTCCGGCAACCGCTTGAACGGCTCAATTCCATTCAGTCTTGCCAACTGCACGAGTCTCATATGGCTGATGGTCGGAGATAACCAGTTGTTCGGCGAGGTGCCGGCCGCTCTATGGACGGTACCGAAGCTTTTGACCGTGTCAATGGAGAACAACGGACGGCTGGGCGGAAGCCTGCCGGAGAAGCTGTATTGGAACCTGTCGAGGCTTCACATCGACACCAACCAGTTCACCGGACCGATTCCGTCATCGGCCACTAAACTCCAGAAGTTCCACGCCAGCAATAACTTGTTATCCGGCGATATACCGGCGGGGTTCGCCGCTGGGATGCCCCTTCTGCAAGAGCTGGACCTGTCGGCGAACCAGCTGTCTGGGGCAATCCCAGAGAGCATTGCGTCGCTCAGTGGCGTGTCGCAGATGAACTTAAGCCATAACCAGCTCACCGGTGGGATACCGGCGGGGTTAGGCTCGATGCCGGAGCTCACCCTGCTGGACCTTTCGTCAAACCAGCTTTCCGGCGCCATACCGCCGGCGCTGGAATCGCTGAGGTTGAACCAGCTTAACCTGTCGTCCAACCAGCTCACCGGCGAGGTCCCGGACGTGCTCGCCCGCACCTACGACCAAAGCTTCATGGGTAATCCAGGCCTCTGCACCGCCGCGCCGTTGTCGGGCCTGCGCTCGTGCGCGGCCCAGGCAGGCGACCATGTCTCGCCGCGTCTCCGCGCGGGCCTCCTCGGCGCGGGCGCCGCGCTCGTCGTACTCATCGCGGCGCTCGCCGTCTTCGTCGTCCGCGACATCAAGAGGCGGAAGCGGCGGCTCGCGCGGGCCGAGGAGCCCTGGAAGCTCACCGCTTTCCAGCCCCTGGACTTCGGCGAGGCCTCCGTGCTGCGCGGGCTCGCCGACGAGAACCTCATCGGCAAGGGCGGCTCGGGGCGCGTGTACCGCGTCACGTACACCAGTCGGAGCAGCGGCGAAGCGGGGGGCACCGTGGCCGTGAAGCGCATCTGGGCCGGCGGGAGCCTGGACAAGAAGCTGGAGCGCGAGTTCGCGTCGGAGGTGGACATCCTCGGCCACATCCGGCACAGCAACATCGTGAAGCTCCTGTGCTGCCTCTCCCGCGCGGAGACCAAGCTCCTCGTCTACGAGTTCATGGGTAACGGCAGCCTGGACCAGTGGCTGCACGGACACAAAAGGCCGGCCGGGACCGCCGGGAGAGCCATGGCGAGGGCCCCGTCGGTCCGGCGGGAGCCGCTGGACTGGCCGACGAGGGTCAAGGTGGCCGTCGGCGCCGCGCGCGGGCTGTACTACATGCACCACGAGTGCTCGCCGCCCATCGTGCACCGCGACGTCAAGTCCAGCAACATCTTGCTCGACTCGGAGCTCAACGCCAAGGTCGCCGACTTCGGGCTCGCGCGGATGTTGGTCCAGGCTGGCACGGCCGACACGGTGTCCGCCGTCGCCGGATCGTTCGGCTACATGGCTCCTGGTACGTGTCTCGTCTTGCTGATTAGTGATCCTGATGAACGAACGGCAGTTACAGTGACACGTCAGCTTATCTGTCACGTTCCTTTGTGCAGAGTGCGCGTACACGAGGAAGGTGAACGAGAAGGTCGACGTGTACAGCTTCGGGGTCGTTCTCTTGGAGCTGACCACCGGCAGGGAGGCCAACGACGGCGGCGAGCACGGCTCCCTGGGCGACTGGGCGTGGCGGCACCTGCAGTCCGGTAAAAGCATCGCCGATGCCGCAGACAAGTGCATCGCGGACGCCGGCTACGGTGACGAAGTTGAGGCCGTCTTCAAGCTCGGCATTATATGCACCGGTCGCCAGCCGTCCTCGCGGCCGACGATGAAGGGTGTGCTTCAGATACTGCAGCGGTGTGAGCAGGCGCACCAGAGGACCTTCGACGAGAAGGTCGCCGACTACGACGCCGCTCCGCTCCTGCAGGTGCGTGGAGGCAGCAGCCGGAAACAACTCTCCGATGCCAAAGCGATTGACGACGATGGGAAGGGCGGTTTCGACGACTGCAACGTCTGAAGAAAAGCAGAATGAGCAATGACTATAGGAATCCTGACCACCTGAGGCTTGAAGCGATATGGGATGGTGCACCAGCACCTTGTGCACGGTCTTAGCCTGACAGCAGAGCAAAGCATAGTCATCACTCATCACAGCTCATCACAACACTGATGGACAATGCCACAGTGGCAGTGCCAGCCAATACTATAGGTGTGTATGTACCGTAACTACAAAACTATATGATTTTGATTTGAAACCATAAGCCTAAATCAAATCATATATTTGACGAAGCAACGAAGAGAACAAATGGTCAAATTCGATCGTATCCTCCTCTTTATTACCAACACAAAAAAAGTTAAAATTTTTCGATTGGTTTACAACACCATACAAGGGGGAAAATGGGCAGAACATGAATGGCATTGTTCAGCTTCCATTTCCATGCTCCTGCCGTCCAAACGTTATGCCATTAGATAACCTCCAAACTCATTGGTTCTATACTAGCTATATCCCGCTGCAGACACTCATGTGCATCCACAGAATAACCAAGAAAGGAAGCCAAAAAATTCCCCGAGGAGAGCTGGAACATTAGGAATGTTTGAAGGGGAAAAAAAAGAAAATGGAAGCTACACTCAAAGTTCGATCCACGCTGGTTTGAAGACTAGTGACTCTCCCCATACTGAGAGTGTGAGGCTGCAAGAAGAGCAGCTCCAATGCCAGAGCCATCGTTGGCCAGCTTGGCAACCACGGAGGAAGAGGCCTCTTCGCCGAGCAAGTCGGTAAGAGTTGCTTCTACGCAACTGCTGAACTTCTTGTAATGTTCATAGAGCCCACCATCCAAGGCAACTACAGTCCTTGGCATTTTACCGCCACTGCTTGGTACTTTGTCCCGGCCTATCTTCTTCAGGATGCTATATATACCTGCAGCGGCCAAGCGTGCTCCACGCTCTGCAACAAGGTCGCAGATGTGACGAGTAATGTATCTTACATCCAGGGAAGTATCTGCGACCTGAAACATGAGAGCAAATATTTCATAAGTGACCAATAGGCACTGACTATTTATAAAAACCAATTTGGCACAAACAAGTCATACCCCAACTATATCCTTCAGTTTAGCTCCAAGAGTTTTGAGGTCATGTGAGGAGTCATGATGCATGGCTGACATATCTGGCGTCCTGTGATACCACAATGAATGTATTCATAAAACATGTCCTATAGGCTATAGATACATAAGAAGTTTCAACTTACTAAGCATAAAAGAGCAAAGAAGAGCTGGTATCAAAGAAAATGTTAAGCATCACACAAAGATGATGTTACTAGTGGCATGGGGGGTTCAACATGCCTCAAATATGCTATAGAACCCAATACAAGTACCTGGTAAATACTTTATTAGCCCTGAAATATAATATAAAACTCCCTGAAGCAAGCTGTTTCTAGGCACACAATTTCTCATGCCATCAAGATAGTTATTCAAAATTTGCAGCATATAAGAGACCATGTTTATTCCAACCAATTGAAACAAAACAGAGTTGACCAAAAATATTTTATCATGTCGCCTTCTTTGGATTACTTACTGATGTGACATGTAACTTGATAAGACACGCAACCCCCTGTCTGTTCAAGTACGACTTTATTGCCACAGACTAAATATTATCAAGGGAAAAATCCAAACTCTAGATGTCATATGTGTTACAATTCAATGCCCAAGATCATGGACGCTGACAAAAGTCTTAACCAGCTCAAGCTGGTTAGCTAAGTAAAGAAAGAGAAACAACTTTTCCACACCAGCAACGTAGCAAACAGGATGGACAGCTCAATGTCCATAGGACAAGAAAGCATACCTCAATATAAATGGCTGCTCCAGCTTAGGTGGAACAACATCCCCAAATAGAGAAGCGTCATGTGCCAACTTCAGTAAAATTCTTCGCACAATCTCTCCCAGATACATGCCAGAAATCATTTTTTCGTATATCTGTCGGAAGCCATACATAAGTTATCCACATATATTTACGCAGTAACCTAATAAAAGACAAAAATGGGAAAGTCAACGGCCAAGGCAACAATACCTGCTCTCCAGGGTTCAAACTTTCAAAGTCCATGGCTTTGTCGTATTCTGAAAGAGGAAGCTTGTCGGATTTGAAGCTCCCCCATTCTGTATTAATTACCTAGAGCACCAAGAATAATTTCAAGGTTACATGCTTCTCATGTGGGTGAATTCCACAACAGCGAATATACAGTGCATTTCTAATGGTGTAAGACCATATGTTATTCCTAGTATAAGGAATTCAAGCACTAACCATGTTTCCAGATTTAGGCAGTAACCCAGTCCATTTAGGAATTGCATTTGCATGCTCCACATATGCTGCATTTGTACCAGTGCCCAATATTACGGCTGCAACTACATCGTTATCCATATATCTCCCACCAGCCAATGTGCCGACCGTATCATTGACCTACAAAGTATCAATACTCAGTCCAAATGTTGGAGGTTTAAAAAAAGCCTCCGAAAGAAATCTTTTTCATCATTTAACAGTTTTGGCATTCTATCAACAGAGAAAAAGTTCGAAAAATATAGCATCAGGAATTTTACAAAGATTTTGTGCAAAAAGTTGGCAGCTACTTACCAACGCTGTAACTTTCATATCTAGCCCCTGCCTCTCCATGGCCCTGCTCAACTCAGAAACAACATCTTCACCAACCTGATTCAGGGGCAATCAAATACCCAAATCAAAATTATATTATTATGACACTTGACAACTAACAGAGTCACTAATCTGTACTAAATCAAACTCTATACTAGAACAAATGTAGGAGAAACTACATATCATTTCTTTGCATAAGGCGAATGTGGTCAGGATATCAAGCAGTACAACCTGGTGCTATACATAATGTTACATAGGTTTATGAAGGAAATATGGAAGAGAAATTCATGTGCTATTAAGAAATTCCACTTTTTTAGGGTAATTAAGAAATTCCACTTTTTTAGGCAATAAGAAATTCCACTTTGATCCCACCTTACTGAACTACAGGAAGGCATTCAATAGATGGGGTTAGGTAAAAATGTTTGGAATTTTTACCGTGCCGTTGATGGAAAAGCCCTTTGTCCACTTGATGAGTGTTCCTGATGATATTGATGTTTGGTTCACTGGGAAGGAAAAAGTGAAACCAAGTTCTCTCTGCCTACCCTCTGGGAGGTGGAAATCTTCACCTTCAGTATCAACAAATTTAGCCAATGCAGCAGCAATGAAATCAAATAGGTCCTGTATCAATAATTCAAGATACATAAGACAAACAGTGTTGAAAACGCACAACTTCGAGAAACTAAATAGAACAGGGAGTACTCACCATGGAAGTCCCGACCATCAAATGCGGTGGAATGGAAACCTCCTCATACTGTTGTTTAACAACACGTTTCTCCCTTCCTCCTAGTTGGACTCGCAGCACACGGAAGTTGGTACCTCCAAGATCCAGTGCATAAAACAGCCCATGTTCATCTCTGCAGAAGCAAAACCAATATGATTGATGAATGAAGTGTAGCACAAGTGCTAGAGTTAACATTCTGCACTCAGGTGTGGATTGCCTTAACAAACTGGTGGTGATAGAATCATTAGAGTAACCCCAAGAGCCTTTTTATATCCTTCCATATTGATAGGAATATAGACTTCGGTGAAAAAAAACCCTCCAACAGCTCCTCAATTAGATCTCCAAACATCGTCATCATCTATTCCCGGTTTCTCACTAGCCAAAGATGGAGAGCGGGGATGGCTCTCCAAGGTGCATACAAAATATAGAGAAACGGTTGGAAGGTGGAAGGATATAGAGAGCGGTTTTTATTCAAACAGCTCTCCAAATGAGGATATAGAGAATGAAATTAAGAAAGGCTCTTGGAGATGCTCTTATATTTAATAACACTTATTCTTCTGGAGCTGACTGACAATTTTTAACTACAATGCTTCTTGTGGTCATAATGATTTTACCAATTTATTGCACCAGATAAGCTCAATTAGTAGATATAATAAATGTACAAACTGCTAAAATAAGCCACAAGTCCCGGAACAACACATTCACATTTCTACAGAAGCAATATAGATAGAGTGGGACTAAATCTAATATCTACAGCGCCTGCTTGGATTGGAGGGTGCCCAGACTGGAGCTGCCTGTGTAGGCTCCAAGCAAACACGCCCTAAGAATATCTGTGTCATAAACTGGCAGTTACGCATCAACGCCCCAGAATTGCAATGCAAACACAGTACCCAGCTTGTCAGAATTCAATATATTGCTTAAAATGTACCAAAACGGGTACCATCCTCATTGATTCCTATATAGTCCTACAAACAATCCACAGTTTGGCCCATGGTCATGGGAGATGCGAGGAACATCATATTTGAGGTTGTATTCCTAAATCGCTTAATCATGATTCATGACAAGCGCAGCCTTCCCGTAAAAATCACAAGGAATCAGCAGATCTCCATCCAATTCGCCAAAAGCCATTCCATTGACGATTCAAAAGTTTCGCCAGGCTTACGCGATCAAGGACGCGCTTTTGAGTCCAGATCACGTCCGTATGTGCCCTTTTCCCACCAGAAGCCGGCATGTCTCGGATCACAAAGCTCACGGCCCAGATCACAACCCGAAGGAAAAGAAAAGCAAGGAAAAGGAGATGCGAGATCAGACAGGGAGCGGGGGAGCCCTTTACCCGGTGGGGAGGTTGTCGACGTAGCTAATGAGCATCTTGAGCTGCGCGTGGATGTCCCCGCTTAGGCCGCGCTCCATCTCGGTGACCATGGCGTCCGCGATGCTCCGCAGCAGCGCCGTGGGCGTGGCGAGGCTGCTCTCGACCTCCTCGACCACGGCGGCCGCGCGCCTCTTCCTCTCGGCCTCCGCGGATCCCAGGAGCTCGGCATCTCGCTTCCGCCGGCGGCGCGCCAGCACCACGGCCACCCCGACCGCCGCGCACACCACCACCGCCGTGCCCACCACCACGGCCTTCCCCATCGCCACCGGTGTCCTGATCCCTACCTACC